CTCTCTGCTTCCCGCTCTACTAATCTGTCATATGGAAAGACAATGCTGCTAGTAAAGTCCAAATCCTCTTAAATCCCAACATTAGATCGTAAAATAAAATTGAAGTCATCAAATTAAAGCGTAGGCAGCACGCAGAGCTGTAGAACACAACATTTCCTACCACTCTGTTAGGCTAGACTGTGCTGTGCCATGGGTGATTTACATGCAACCATCTCATCAGGTGTAAATGGAGCTTCGTTACCCTATAGCTGCTAAGGTCCGTACTTCAAATTGCTTTAGAAAACCCATGCCTGACTTTACTGCAACATGGAAACATATTCTGTAGCAGAAATGTGAAAATCTAAGATCTGATCTTGTTTAAACCCAGAATATTTCAGAAGGACAGAGGACTTTTTGCCCTACGAATATTCTGTTGCAGAGGGACTAGCAGTGTTACCCATGTATTTCCTTAGTCTGCTTTGTATTTCTTTCCCATAGGACAAAGAACACGAGTACAGAGGAGACCACAAAGCACAGAAGTTTCACTCAGAAAAGCTGAATTATAAAAGTGCTATAGATTACTTCTGATGATTTACACGAGGGACATGGTAGTCAGAACTTGTAATATAACCCAAAATGGTGTGTGGGGTGGTGAGGGTGCAGGGGGGGTTTTACTCAGAGCTCTGTCACTCGGCACTACGGCCACACTAGGAAGAGCTGATTTTGGAAACTCCCAAGTAAGGCAGCTGGCACAGGAGACGGAATTGCAAATAAATGTGCTGTTTTCACAGATACTTCTCTTTGGTTGCATAAGCAGGCAAGGGCTTTTGGATGTGCCAACTCATCCTGTCAGCTACTTGTTGCCGAACAGAGGGGCTAGTAATCACCTCCAGAACAGCTGCACAAATAGAAAGTGATCTAATAGCTTGAATTTTCTCTGTTTTGTGGTGCCCTAACAGCACAGTACTGCGCTCTGTTAGACACTCTGCCCTCGTCCATAATAACATTTAACACTTAAATCTAGGTCAAGAGTTGAAACCAAGAGAAGAACTAATTTTCTACATAACTGTAACATTTCTTGTACAGTGAAGATAAATAAAGACAGAAAAACAGATATTTTGAAAGACTCGAGGAAATTCTTCCTAAGTATTTCATTGTTCTTTGAACAGGAATAGAAAAACGAGGGAGAAATGTAATTCACGAATTTGCACAAATCTCCTCGCTAGAATTCCATGTGGCTCTTGTCAAATTATGCAACATGTTCTAAAATCTTTGCATATTTTAAAAAAATACAAAGTAATCTGCTTTGTAACTCTTTCTGGCTAAATACACTTACACTACATTTCAGAGCATAGGTCTACAATCTTATTGGGCAATCAGGAGTCTTTTCTGGAGCAGCAGGTTAAAGAAAAGAAGTTACAGCCCCTTTACCTTCCTGACCAATATATTCTAGGTTCAATGACATGGATCAATATCACAGTTGGGTTATATTACCTTCTACATCAAGCTCACGTGGCTGACGTGCACTGAAAATATTAAAAGGCGAGCGAGGTAATTAGTGCAGAAAAAAAAAAAAAAGCCGAATCTTAAATAAAACCATTCCGTTTTCTATCACTCTGCTAAAATAAGCTTTTTGGCAGATGCTAATATTTTGAGCTGGCTGGCAGCCTGAAATGCATTTTTAGGAAGCAGGTAGCACAAATGGGTGTCTTGGAGAGAACGCAAAGCCTCCTGTGAGGTTATTTAACATTTTCCTGATATCCCAGGTGTCCACAGTAGGCCAGAGAAGATACCATCCTTGCCCCCAGAACACAAAATCAGTGAAGTAGTGTATACAATGCAAAATCCAGGTGTAATACAGAATGTGAGTGCCAGGAATAGGATTCTCGGTATCGTCACAGAGCACTGCCACTTTTTCCACTAAATCCAATACATAAAGAGATCTTTCATGAACCGGGAGCGGATGAGTCACAGCCATCTAGGGGGTGACATTATGTAGGATCTAATTTTAACTGTCTTTGTTTTTTCAGCATATGAAATATAAACAGCTTAAGCTAATTTTATTGAATACTGCTGTAACAAACCCCTCTTGTTGACTGCTCTCTGCAGAGGGCTTTAAAATAAAAGTTACACCTATTTAACTGTTTTGCAGCTCAAAGAGTGTAACTGACACTGATCTTGACTAAACTGTAGTTGTCTGCTGAACATAACTTCGCTATAGCTGCTGACTTCCCGAAATACACACACCTCTAAGAGCTGTTGTTACATCTCTGGTGGTAATAGCATACATTTACAGTGCTGAGTAGTGCTGGGTTTCCTTCACTCCCTGCAGTACCCAAAGGTTTAGACCAGTTATCCCCAAAGGTCTAGACCAGTTATCCAGATATAGAGCCTGAGGCTCCATACAGCATATACAGCAAGATATTTGAAATCAAAACAAATACCAAGGTAGTTGTTTTAGCATGCAGCAAATATCTAAAGATAGGTTTGGACTGCTAAACTTATATGATTCATAGGTGGGTACATCAACCATCAACGACTCTGGCTTTATTTTCTGTAACAACTCCTAGAGAATTAAATATATGTCTAGGAGTCTGCAAGCATGAGCGTTGTAACTAATTATTATAAGGTAAACTATGATGGAAATCTCTGCCATGCCTACCATCACCATTAAATGCAGGATGTCCTATCCCTCACTGAGAGAACGACAAAGAGCCTCATGCTTACCACGGCGTGAGATAAGTCCCAGAGCTAGGCACTGTAGTGGAGGTAACACACAGACCAGACTCTCACTGACCCTTCCATGACTTATCTGAGCACCCACATCCTACATCAAGAGTCTCGTTTTAGAGAAATATGGACCATAAGATCTAGTTCCAGGTGACTCCCAAATTCTTTTCAGAAAGCACAGGGTTGGCCTCTGAGAGCATTTAACAGCATAAGCCGGTTGTACCTCCTGAGTAGCATATTTCCATGTTTTCAGGGCAGTATATAGGGAAGAGAAATACCACTGTCATATAATGCACACACCTTGCTTCTTACTCATTAATTTTCGGCAGCAGTTCTAAACTCATTTTATGCAGAAAGCAGTTTATATTCATGTTAGATTAACTTGACCTTGACTTTATTAAATTTGGAAATATGTCTACACCACTACTTCTCAGACATGTTTGTGAAGTGCTTTAAACATTTACAGCACACTAAATGCTAAATGTTAAATACCACGATGTTAGGTGAAGTGCTATTGGTGCAGCAGTGAAAATGGCAGCATTTAACATTCTCAGTGTACTGAAACCAATCAGTAAAATATTCTTGTTTGTTTCCATGTAGCACAACTAAAAGCAAATGGCAACACACAGATGCATCTAGCCCAGTATCTAGAGAATAAAGACAAGTTTTTCTAATTACTTCTGACTTCAAGCTTCTGTGCTCTGGAAAGTTGTCTTCACTGTAAAGTACTGAAAAATTATATGGCGTGTTAGAGGCGCCAGGTAAGCATCTGTTACTGAAGTGCGATTCAAATGAGAAACAATGAGGTTTGCTTAGTAATCCATTGGAATACTGCTTACTCTGCTTCAGATTAACTTGCATTTAGGTGTGGGACTTTTACAGATGTGATATGACAGCTCAAAATATTACTTTTCCCGCATGGACAAATGTCAGGAAAATTATCTATCTGCATTCAGAACAGCACCCAACTGTACTGTTGCCTCCAATAAGATAGTGTCTGATGTCATTCAAACAAACAGATGCATTCATTTCTTTCCCAGGGTGAAACAAGAAATATTTGTAAGTGACAGCATATTTGTCACTCTGCTAGTGCTATTTTCATCCTTATATCCTATTATTATTCCCAAACTGTTCAGGTGTACCAATTTGAAACCTTTCTCAATAAAAAATTAATTTCCACCCTGCTTAATCCATCCACATATTACTGGGTTCTTATCAAGGAATTTCCACAAGAATTAAGTAAACGGAGGAAGTGCCAAGCTATTATTTATTTATTTAGCATCCTAAAGAACACAGCTGTCCTGAACCTGGATGAATAATAATTCCTTAATGAAAATGCAGCTCATGAACAGAATGCCCAGTCAGAAACAGCAGCCTTCTAAACTAATCTGCCTTACAGATGAGTAAATTCACTAAGCCATCTCTTAAACAAATACTATTGTGTTTACTTTCCACAATGCAAGGAAGGCAAAAGCTGAGAAGCATTCCCAGGAACAAATAAAACACAGTAATTACTTTTTTTAAAAAATTTTAAGAGCAATAATACAGTGGTTTGCATCTTTGACTAACTATATTAAGCAATAAAGGGTGCACAGTAAGCTGAATGTCAAATAAATACTGCAGATTATTTGCTGCTGTTTATGCCTGTGCAATGCAACTCTGATTCTCTGCATGTGTCCCATTTCATCAGGTCATATCAAATCATGTTTTGTCAGTGTTTATTAATTCAGCCTAAATCCAGTCACACGATACACACTTCAATGAACTTAGTATGAGAAAATGCTTCCTGTAATTCCAGTTATTTATAAATGTGAATAGATACATCTGATTACCCAGGGACTTGCATGTCAAGTTTATTGCATTTTAAGCATATTTTTACTTCAGTGCTTGAGCAGACATTTAAAATACTCTTCCCCTTTACTTCTACACTGCCACCCACAAACTACAGGGGAGTTGATTTCCTCTCTTTGTAAGAGGAGTGACTTGAGTTAATGCTAATGGGAATTATTGAGGTGTACCACTGAAGTTTTAAACAGCCTCAAGTTTCCAAGACTAAGAAGTACTGCTGTGCCACTTACAGACTATTTTGTGAAAAGTGAAAGCTTAGCAAAGGAACATAAGCAAATTTTCCTTCTACCCCGCTATGATTAAGTCTCATTTCAGTTGTATACATTGGACAACAAAAAATTAAACATGTACATTATGTTCTGTAAGCATAGTTACATCCAGAAAAACAGGGAGTGAGGGGAAAGAAGGGGACGAAGAGAAAAAAATAAAGATAGCTGGTTTACCTGATACTGTACAAAACTTTTCCAGTTTTAAAAATCCTTAGCAACTTGTTGTCTGTCGTGACATCATGGAAGTTTGCTCCTTTCTCATTGGCAAAGAATAAATCTGGCTTCCAAATGGAGTCCAACATAGAGGGATCCAAATCCAAGGAATCATCGGGATATTCGCTGTAAGCCAGACGTGAGTCATTCCACTGCTGTCTCAAAAAAATGTTCACTCTGTAGTCCTACAGAAATGCCATGTAAAAAGGTCACTAAGCCACTTACCAAAACTGGAAGCCCACATTAGCTTTCTTTATGCTCTTAGACTTACTACAGTACCAGCTTCACAGCAAATATTTATGTTTTCCTTTGAACATAAGAGTTCTCATTTGAAAATAGTCTAAAGGCTGTATTGAACCAAACACATACAACTGGTACGCTTTCCAAATCAAAATTACTTCAGTGATTAAAAAAATATTAACTGCAACCTCCAATACAAAATATAACCCTCTCAAATGTTATGGATTTACTCAGAGGTACTTAGAAAGTCAAAAAGCATTGCAGCTAGATAGATACAATTTCAACAAAGATTCTATAAAACTATTAATTTAAATAAATTGCTTCCAATATGTAAATCAATTATTTCTAATGTACTCATGAATAGTTCTAATTCCAGTGAAACCAGATTTGTATAGAAGAAATTAAACCAACACTTCCTATTTACTGTTTATGTCCTTTTTCTATCTACTCTATGCTTTTCTGTGTATGTTTTTTCATTCACTCCTCCCTCTCTTTGCCCCATTAAAATTGTTCTAATTGCACTCTTCTGCTCAGCAGTCTGCTAGTCACAACTAGGAAAGGCAGCAATTACTTAGAGGTTCATACAGAACCAACATAAATGCTGTGTCAAGAACTGGCAATTAAAGGGGAGTGTGAAAAGAGCTTTTAGGGTCTAAACTCTCTGGAGGGAATGGAAAGATGCTGATGTTTATTCTCCTTATCCTGAATTTCCAAAGTCATCAAATAGTTGCTTCTCCCCTAGATTTCCCTGCTCTTGCAGCATATTTACCTGAAATTACTACACTTAAGTTGCTTGTGAATACTTTCTTAGAAATATGTCTACTTTTCCTCTACAAGGAAAATATTTAATAATATTTATATCAATTATATTATTTGGAGGAATATGTTATCAAATAATTCTGCCAACTGTACGAATGCCTTACATTTAGGACTTGCTTTATGGTAGCCGCAGTACATTAAAATGGCAGCACTGTGCTTTTGACTTGGAAGATCTATGAGCTGACCTGGGTTTACTTAGGCCATTGAACTGCATAGTCCAAAGAACTTATCATCCTTGAAATGTAAATAAATATTCTCATTCTGATTAGAGCTGCAGAAAGCAACTTGCCCGATATGCAGAGTCTGTGAACGAGCCCCTCCAAGCTCCATCATTTCCCACCCCTCATTCAGTAAGTTAGTGATGAGGTGTGCTGCTGCCCTGACATAATACTCCTGGCATCCAAAGAGATGCAGTTATTGAACCCAATGGGATGACACTTTACAATCTCACTAGGAACGTGATTTTTCTTGTTTTCTTTATCATTATTCTACTGTTGCATAGACATTAGTCAAAACAGAAATGTCTATTAATCACAGCAAGACAAACATGGGAGAGGTCTCAGGAATAGCACATTTATTAAATATACTTACAAAAGCCTGTATCTGTTTTTCACAAGCCACTGCATTTTTTTATTATGGTGTTGTTTCATACAGTTAAAGATCAAATAGCTACTTGCAGTTCTGAGCTTATAAAACTTTGTCACTTTTTGTGAGGATACACTAACCTTAAGCATACTTTCCCTTGTTTCTTTGTCTTAAAAACTGAGCTTGTCTTTTAAGTTTATATGGGACAGTTCTAATTATAAATGCAGGAAAACATTTGATTTTCAGTCTGGAGAAAAGAAGGCAGTAACTGTCATCAGTTACTGATGACAGAATAAAATTCCTAAAACTAGCTGTGCAACTGCCTTTAATTTTTCTTTGAAATAAGATATATAGTGAAGTCTATGGAAAGCAGAGGGATTTTTGCCCCCATGACATAGAAATCATAAATAATTAAAATCAGTAAGTTATTTAGAAAAATCTAAAACCAAATATTCTTTCGTGAACTTTAGTAGTTAATGATTTAGCTAACAAAAAACAGTCTGAAAAATCCTTATTCATAGAAGAGCTTGCATATGATGATATATATTATACCAAAAGCATGAATAATGACAAGAGGATTACACTATCTTTTTCAATATGTACCTTCATAAATATATGAGAGCCACTACACCAATACACTTGGAAATGCCTTGTCTCTACGAGCTGCTTTGTTAGAAGCAAAACAGCACTGAAACCTTCATTTATGTCTGATAGGCTTTGCATATATATTTACATGTATAGCTATTTTAATAAGAAATAAAAATGGAAATATAACATGTACATCACAAAATCATCATTCGTTTTTTCTCCTATGCTTGCAGTATAAGCAGTTGAGAGAGATGTGTGTTTACACAGTCAGACCTAATCATGTGCAGAATTTTGAATGTACTTTTCCTGTGCTAACATTGTAACTATCTTCTGAAGAAAAATTCTCCTGAGAATGTTATCACAACATGGAGCTTAGGCAGACTACAGTGTGTGTTTTGCAAGTTCCTGAGGGTAGAAGTGGGTGGACTGTAGTAATGCACTCCTACACAACCACAAGTACACCCGCTCCACAAATTCTTTCTGACAGCACCACTGCTCTGAACAAGGAGTGTGGACCTGGAGATTCAATCTCAGTCGCAACACTGATGCCAGCAATAGCTCAAGGCAACTCAAATGAACAGCCATGAGATCAGAGTAACAGTAATACAGTAAAGGAATATTCATCTGATTAGTTTTAGTAGATTCATCTGAAGATTTAGGGACTCAATCCACAGATATACTTAGTTTGTGTTACAGAAATCTGGATAGAAATGGTCTTTCAGCATATCTATGGCCACCAGATTCACTGCCCAATACTGCAGCAAAGCTTGGGGTCCCTTTGGGTCACTTTGGTCTCACCTGCTAAGTGCTACTTTCTGTCTCTGAGCTGATTCTTGACTTAGATCTCAGCCTTCCTCCCATCTTCCCCTCCAACAGCACTGATCAGCCCAGGTGTTGAGTTGGATGTCTGAGGCAAACTGCAGACTTAACTGGCCTTCCATGCATGAGTGGGACTTGTCAACGAGACAACTCTCTCTCTCTAAATCCTAAATATGAATGCTAACTGAAAAGTAGTTCTTTAACGGTACAAAAAAGCATTTGGCTACTTACATACCTAGGCATGCAAGGTGTCTCCAATGACTTCAGTTGGAGTCTCTTAAGCAGCTAAAACTATACATATGAATTAATCAGGATCTAACAAGCTCATTTGTAATTATGTCTTTTCTAGTGGGAAGGTAATATCATACAGCCAGCCACAGCCAAGCTTTTGAAATAAAGGAATGACAAATTTTTCTGCTAACGTAAGTACTCAAAACACAACTGGAGTTTGATGCATTACCCCAACAGAGAACCTGCTGCACAGTGTCAGTCATTGATTATAGGGCATAACGACAATAATAATGTCCTCACAGTTAGTCATTTCTGTAATTAACAATTAGCTCATCAATGTACAAACTGCTCTTAGCTTCTCCTACAGCTGATAGCTAAAAAACCCTGGTCATTAGCAACACTGAACATCTGAATTCTTTGGGACTCTGCCCAGCCTGATGCAGATTACTCATCTGTGATACTCAACTGTAGTCATGCTGTACAGTGAATTTTCTGCTGAATACTGCATGTGTGAATGCTTCCAAAAATAGATACAGATCTTACTGGCATAACTACTTTATTCAGTGAAGTTACTCAGGAATGTCTTTTTCTCTTTCTTTGCAAGTTAAGGCTTAAATAAAAGACAAGTGAATCAATGAAGAAAATTTCCAACAATTTTACCTTGACTCTGGCCTTTTTTTTACTATTTTTATCTTGGTATAATATATATCATTCTAATATGGAAGAAAACCATTTGTTTTGGAGAAAAAAAATCAATTATGATACTGTACCGTATGTGGCTTATAATGCAGGAAGACTAATACAGACACATTTTGTTTCCCTAGATCTTTGGGAACAAAATTCATGAAGACTCTATGGAACTCATCCATTTGGAGAGAACCAGCACAAAACACTGCTTTATTTCTGAATGAAAGGTTTTACCTTTTAGAAGAATATGCTGAACATAAGAGTTGTGCTGGCCTTTCACACAGGGATGAATTTCATCCTGGTGTCTGTCCTAAGCAGAAAAAAAGAAGCTACTCTTGCTAATGTTATTGAGAACACAGCTTACTGAATTTAGTAGGTCTGGGACTGTAATCCTGTTTGCCATGTTCATTTCTCCTATTGAAAACTTCTTTAGACAAATTTTCAGCTCCTGAGTTTCCAATGAGTTGCTGTAGATCATCCAATATATATTATGATAACGTCCCTTCAGTACATATACATGGTTTCACTAAGCATTCCTGTCCCCTGAGACAGGAGAATCTCTGTTGAATTCATAATCCAGAGTTCTAAATGAATCATTTAGTTTTATGTCAAAATCATCCAGAGCACTTTATAAGGAAAAATGAATCCTAGGAGTCAAACAAAACTCATTATTTATCACAAGGGATGCCAACATTTCTACCACATGTTTACATCTATTTCTGAAAGGCAAATGGAACAGTAATTGATGTCTGCCTCTCAGAGCAGTTTCAAAACATTTTAAAACTAGTCACACTAGTCATCATTAAAAAAGTGACAGTATCAAGAAAATCAGTATCAAACCATTGAACAGCATCAAAGAGAAAACTTTCCACACTTTCAGCAAATATTATGAACAAAGCAAAATAAAAAAGCCAACAGTCTTTGTTTTCATCTACTTGAATGTTCGGCTGTTTTCAGCAGAATGTATTAATGAATATTGGAAAGGTGCACATTAACATATTTGATAGAAGGTAAAATGCAATGAGGGGATTTAATCAAAGCAATGAAGGAGTCTAATTAATGCAATCAGCATTAGGTCGTGCAAATATTTTCATTGAATGCCATCTTGTAAAGCCAGTGACGTGCAGGATATTTGCTACTTAACATTATGCTGATGTCTCTATGTTCTAGGATCAACAGACAGACTCCATTCATAGCTATCTCCTCAGAATCCTTTAAACATAGGAAAACAAATGAAGTCTTCCAAAAAACTGAAAATTATGTCTGCTGATAATTATGTTGCATCAAGAAATGTTTTTTCCTGTCATATTTAACTTGATTTTAGTTTTCTTTTAAGGTGTTTTAAAATATTACAGATACATATGCTAAAGCATTAATTTACCTGTTTATTTTATAGGTCTGTATGTTATAGCTCATCATTTATAGAAGAGTCTTTCCCACACTATTTAAGAAAGCAACCTACCCTAGCAATAACTTTCCCTTTATCTCTAGAAAGCATTAAGTAACAGGGTGGGTTTTTTAAATAAAAATATTTAGGAGCAGAAGATTCCTGTTCCTACATTCCTTAGGCACCGCTTTCTAAAATGATGGCATGAATTACAATAGAATTTAAATGAAGTATCTGAATATTCAATACAATAATTAACTTGGGCTAAATATCTGCTCTTCCTTCATAATGCAAGGATTGCAAGGCAGTATCTACCCCATTTTATGAAAAAAATAGTTCTTTGGTATACCTTGAGTCCTTTGGGGGATAGCAAGTTCATTTGTAGTTACCAAGAACTCAGTCCTACAGGCACCTTTCTTGCCTCTGGCTTCAGCAAATACAGAAAGACCTGGACGCAGTGTAGGAATCCCCAGAAAACAGAGTTGTGAAACAAGATTGCAGTTTCTTCAAAAGTGTCCATAGCTGTCCATAGTGTTCTGAGGCAAAAACTAACAAAATTTCAATGACAGAGAGAGTACTCATTTTTACTTTATTTTGTGTCAGCTGTGCCTTGAAGAGTTCAAAATTAAGTTGGGATTTGTCACTAGACCCTTTCTAGAACCGGTTTAACCCTCTTCTTGTATATAAGCATCAGCTAATTACTATGGGTTTATCCCGTTGTTATCAGAAAGCCATCAAAAATATCTCTCTGGACTAACACAGTCAGGTGTATGTACGCTTGAATAAATGATATTTTTTGTCCTTTGTTTAAAAAAGAAGATTAAAAAACTCAGCATATTTTTAAATGGACTCAGAAAAGATATTTTTGTTTTTCTTAGCAGATATTTTAAAAAAAGAGAATATTCACTTCTAGACTAAAAAAGAAAAAAGTTGGAGTAAAATTTTCATTTCCATTTTTTCAGCTTGACTTTGTTAATTCTAAATTTTGACAATTTTAAAAAGAAAAATCTCACCTTGAAACAAAAAATTGAACTATTTATTTTTATATATATCAAAATTAAAACTCCAACATCTTCAATTCGGCCTTGCTTGTTTGACTGTTAGCATTCTTTGAATTCACTCAAAATACACATTTCGGTTGACTGGGATCCCATAATTTCCTCCTACCAATTTAACCCTCAAAATTCTTGAGTCTCCCTGTAGCTATATGTTTTATTCATTTGACTAAGTTATGTATTCACTTCAGTTACTGATGAGGCTGTAATTCACAGAGATTTAGCTAAGTTAAACAAGTCTGTTCTGGTAGCTCTTAAGCACAGTCTGCAGCAGCAGATAATTCAGCATGTGGTGTAAGACCCACACAAAATATGGAGCATTTGGCAGGGAGCTACACCACTGAGCTCCAGTCATATCTCTACCCCTTCAGTGCTAGTAAAACCTGAGAAAGCTGGTTTGCACACACCTGTATTTTCTGTCATCACAGTCACTATAGACTATGGTGCAGCCACTACATATATGTTTAGACTTGGTAGTCGAGTTTAATAATTTATGTATCTCTTTCTATAGTTTTTTTGTATTTATTTTATTTTAATTCAGCTCGTAGGTTTTTAGTAGCTTAATAACTTAGTAAATGTCCCCACGTCCTTAGCATCTCTACTCTACTCTACATCCCACTCCTTCACAAGATGGCTTCAATGACCAGTCCCACTCACCATTGTAGTTTCTGCTATTGAACCAAAGCTGTTGATAAATATGTTGCAGGTAACATTTACAGGAGGACCTGCAAGTTGAACAATAAATAGAAAAATTGACAGGTTGTGTTCATGACATATATTAAGTATTGTTGTTCTCTTGCCAATGGCATCATAGCACTTACCATTGTGGTTTCTGTGACTGATCCAAAACTGTTGATAAAAATATTGCAAGTAACGTTTACTGGAGGACCTGTGGAATGCAATAAAAATGTTGCAATATACATTGAAACAAAAGTACAGATCCCTCAGCCTCCGTACAATCTGGTACAGATGTGGCTGAAAACAAGTAGAAAGTGAGTTTTCACAAACAGATCATGTAAATATCAATCAACAGAGAAACATTATCGACACTGATTTAATTAACCTAGTTTCATTGGAAGTTGTAACATAAAAGCACAGAACTACATCCTTGCATTTAAGGATTTATGAGGAGAGTTGAGCGAGGGCATGAGCATAACCATTTTTCCTTTATCCACAGTACCAGAGCATAATATGCTTTAGCATTGCAACCACTCCTCTCTCTCTCCCTTCTCAGACTTAAAATCAAATCTCTCCACACCTATTCCACTCTGTATGCAAAGGCTTGCCACTGAAATTCCCAGCAAGGGCCACTTTTCACGTTGACTCCAGTCCACTGAAAATGGACTTATACAAGCAGCTCTTTGCGTACCTGATCTGGAGATGTCTACCTTTCCATAAACAAATATTTTAACAATATCTGTTCTGGCTTGACACAGCTTTCATTAAAAAACCATTTGTGCTCTCTTCCTTCCCACCTCCTTTCCTGCTATTCAGCAGTCACTGACTTGCAGCAGAATGAATGGGGACTTAATATTTAATTAGTTATCTATTAGCCTCCTATTTTTTTCAGGCATGAAAAAATAAACTGGGATTCTCAACTGAATCAAAAAAAGATTAGTGCTAAATGCATGAATTTCAGTGACACAACAAAAGCTGATACAAGCACTGATTATCAAATACTTTCTTATCTCTTTTATCATTATTATTTTTAACCACATAATTTTCGTTATGTTAAAAAAATAATGTCAGTCCACAGAATATAAATACCTACATTTGGTGTCATATTTATATCTGAAATTGCTTTACAAAAGATGGAAACATTATTACTTTCTTTTTTGAAAAATGGAAAGATAAAGTAATGTGCCCATTGAAACCCAGTACACCGTCAACTTCCTGAGTGCTAGACCACCCACCTTTGAGGAAACAAACTAAAGGTTTTGGGAAGAAAAACCACAACAGTAGTATGTTTTGAGAATGTTAAATTCCAATGAAGTGTGCTGTTCAACTTGGTTTTTGCAACAGTTGTTTTTAAAAAAACACTTCCTTTTTAAGTTTTAAATGTTCTTTCAACACCAAGCTGAAACAAGTCAAATAGTCTGTTGTTCTCCATAGTATGATTTTTTTTCTTTAACTTGATGATATTTTACTAGCTGGGCAGCTTGATCAATATATTTCTCTACATCCAAACAAACAGAATCACTGAATCATTGAAATTGGAAGGAGCCTCTGGACATCATGCAGTCCCCCTAGTCTATCTACTCCCAGAGCATGACCAGCTATAGCAGGTTGCTCAGGACCATGTCCCATCAGTTTTTGAGTATCTCCAGGGATGGAGACTCCACAGCTTCTCAGAGCAAAGTGTGTCAGTCCTCAGTCACCCTCACAGTAAAAGGGTTTTCTTATGTTTAAGAAATGTCCTGTGTTTCAGTTTGTGCCCAGTGCCTCTTCTCCTGTAACTGGGCACCACTGAGAAGAATCTGGCTTCATCTTCTTTACTTACCCCGCATCGGTTATTTGTGCACATGGATAAGATCCCCTTGAACCTTCTCTTCTCCAGGCTGCACAGCCTCGGCAGTCTCAGCCTCTTCTTGTATGACAGATCCTCCAATTTTTTAATCACCTTCATGACCCTTTGCTGGGTCCATACTAGTAAGTCCATGTTTCTCTTGTAATGGGGAGTCCAGAGCTGGACCCGGAACTCCAGATGTGTCGCACCAGTGCTGAGGAGAGTGAAGGATCCCCTCCCTCAACCTGCTGGCCATGCTCTGCCTAATGCAGCCCAGGAGGCTACTGGGCTTCTTTGCTGCAAGGGCACATTGCTGGCTGATGTTCAACTTTGTGTCCACTGGAACCCCTGTGGCCTTTTCTGCAAAGCTGTATTCCAGCTGGACATCTCCCAAATTGTTCCTTCCCAGGTGCAGGACTGAATTTCACCTTACTGAACATAGTGAGAATCCTGTTGGCCCATTTCTGCAGCCTATCCAGGTCCCTCTGAACAGCAGTACAACCCTCTAGGGCATCAACCATTCCTCTCAGTCTTGTACCTCCTGCAAACTTGTTGAGCATGCACTCTGTCCCATTATCCGGGTAATTAACGAAGATGTTAAACAGTATTGGCCAAGTATCGCCTCTTCAGTACACCAGTAGTGACTGGCCTCCAGCTGGGCTTCATGCTGCTGATCACAACCTATTGAGCATCGTAAATCTTCCAGTTTTCCCTGTACCTCGCTGTCCATTTAGCTGGGCTATTCTAATAGTTTGTCTGTAAGGATGTTCTTAGAGGCAGCGACAAAAGCCTTGCTAAAGTTGAAATAAACAACATCCGCTGCTCTGCCCACATCCATGAAGCCAGTCAAGTCATCAAAAAAGGCTATCAGCATGGTCAGGAGTGATTTCCCCTTCATAAACCCATGGTGACTACCCCCAGTCCTCTTCCTCTCCTTCATATCTGGAAATGGCTTCAAGGAGAATTTGCTCCAGTCTTCAAGGTAAGGCTGGCCAACCTGTAGTTCCTGGACTGTCCTCCTTGTCCTTCTTGAAGGTAGGAGTGACTTTTTTTTCCTGTGACGAGGAACCTCCTCCAGTTACCATGACCTTTCAAAGATACTTAATAATGGCCTCCCAATGTCATGAGCCAGCTCCCTCAGCACTGGTGGGTGCTTCCTATGAGGTCCCATGGACTTTTTTCTGTCCAGTTTGCCTAAATGCTCGGTAATCTGATTCTTCTTCACTGATTCTTTTCTTGATCTGGTCTTTCATAGGTCTCAGGGGTGTGGGATTCCTGAAGACTAGTCTTACCAGTAAAGACTGAGGTGAAGGAGTCATTGACTACCTGGCATTTTCTTATGCTCATGATCAACTTTTCTTTGATCTTATGGTGTTGACTTGCAAAAGTCACCATGTGTAAACATCACAGCTTCCAATTCCTAAATGCCAGCAGAACCCAGTAAACATGTTTACCTATGTTAGGAAAACATGTTTACCTGTGTTAGGAAATATGCTACCTCATCAGAGACTGCAGTTCAGTTGTACACAAAGCAGGTACATTCTAGAACACTGTATCTTACAACAAAGCGAATATCTCCCTCCATTTCTCTACTCAGTTGTACACCATCTTTAACTTACGTTCTGCTGGTAGATGTGGAATAGTATAAGAATTCAGTAAAGTCAGTTAAAAAAAAGGTTCATGACCATCTGAGGAACCTGAATATACACAAGTCTATGGGACCTGATGAGATGCATCCCAGACTACTGAGGGAATGGGCTGATGTAGTTACCAAGCCACTCTCCATAATATTTGAAAAGTCATGGCAGTCAGATGAAGTCCCTGGTGACTGGAAAAAGAGAAACATTGCACCTGTTTTTAAAAAGGGCAGAAAGAAGGACCCTGGAATCTACCAACCTGTCAGCCTCACCTCTGTGCCTGGGATGATCATGGAACAGATCCCCCTAGAAGCTATGCTGTGGCATGGAGGACATGGAGGACAGGGAGGTGATTCGACACAGCCAGCATGGCTTCACCAAGGGGAATTCCTGCCTGACCAACCTAGTGGTCTTCTATGATTGAGGGACTATACCAATGGACCAGGAAAACACTATGGATGTCATCTATCTGGATTTCTGTAAGGCCTTTGACACAGTCTCCCACAACATCCTTCTCTCTAAATTGGAAAGATACAGATTTGACAGGTGGACTGTTTGGTGGACAAGGAATTGGTTGGATGGTCACATCCAGTCAATGGCTCAATATCCAGATGGAGATCGGTGACAATTAGTGTCCCTCAGGGGTCCATACTGGGACCAGTACTGTTTAATATCTTCATCAATGACATAGTGGGATTGAATACACCCTCAGCAAATTTGCAGACGACACCAAGCTGAGTGGTGCAGCTGAGATGTCCGAGGGAAGGGTTGTCATCCAGAGGGACTGTGTGGGCTTCATGAGGTTCAACGAGGCCAAGTACAAGGTCCTGTACATGGGTCGGGGCAAATCCCAGTATGAATACAGGCTGGGAGATGAAGGAATCAAGAGGAGCCCTGAGGAGAAGGACTTGGGTGTGTGGGTGGATGAAAAACTGGACATCAGCCGACAAAGTGCACGTGTAGTCCAGAAAGCCAACCGTGTCCTGGGTTGTGTGAAAAGAAGTGTGGCCAGCAGGTTGAGAGAGGTGATCCTCCCCCTCTAATCCACTCTGGTGCAATCCCATCTGCAGTACTGCATCCAGTTCTGGAGGTCTTGGCAAAAGAAAGACATGGACCTGTTGGAGCGAGTCCAGATGAGGGCCACAAAAATGATCAGAGGGATGGAACACATCTCTTATGAGGAAAGGCTGAGAGAGCTGGGGTTGTTCAGCCTGGAGAAGAGAAGGCTTCAGGGAGACCTTACAGTGGCCTTCTAGTACCCAAAGGAGCCTACAGGAAAGATGGGGACAAACTTTTTAGCAGGGCCTGTTGCAACAGGACATGGACTAATGGTTTCAAACTAGAGGAGGGCAGATTTAGACTGGATATAAGCAAGAAATTTTTTACAATGAGCGTGGTGAAACACAGGAACAGGTTGCCCAGAGAGGTGGTAGATGCCCCATCCCTGGAAATGTTCAAGGTCAGGTTGGAACAGGTCTCTGAGCAACCTGGTCTAGTTGAAGATGTCCCAGCTCATTGCAAGGGGGTTGGACTAGATAGCTTCTAAAGGTCCCTTCCAACCTAAACTGTTCTATGATTCTATGATTCAATAAACCTAAGTACTGCCAGCAAAACCGGTCACATTCTCTTCAACCACAAAGTTTTCTGGAAAGAGCTTTATTGGTGAGATATCACGAATCATTTTTTTTTTCTGATTATTTATATTTGTTTAGAAGATCAAAAGTGTAATGCAAGATTTGCAACTAA